AACTTATAAAAAAAAAAAAAAAAAAAAAAAAAAAAGTGAAGCATTAGAGATTCAAAAACATCAATGCTCTCCACTTTATGGCGGAATAAACTTAAATAACAGACAATACGTTAAAACTAAACTTTGAACTCCATTTTTAGCATTCTTGCGTTAAAGAAGCCGTTCTGACGCTGACGTCAAAGTTTAATTTTTGTAATTTATTATAACGGTCATAATTTTTACGATATTATAGCTGATGATGCTGGTAACTATAGTAACCCAGCGAAAATGATGATGCTGGTAACTATAGTAACCCAGCGAAAATTTCAAAAAAATTAACAATAGAATTGAGAGAACTCGTAGTAATTGATGTTTTTTTATATTTTTTAACATATATATATATATATATATATATATATATATATATATATATATACATATATATATATATATATATATATATATATATATTTATTTTTTTATTTTAATTCATCTCCTCAAGGCCGAGAAGGCCACTACAGACGAGGAGGCTACTTATTTTGTGGCTATAACCCTCTCTCAACTCTATAACTCCAAAACACGAACCTTGGCGAACAAGGCCGCTGCGCGGAGAAACGAGTTGAGCACGGTACTACCAGCGATATGGTGGGGATTGAGCCCGGAACCACTCGTTTATGAAGCGAGCGCTCTACCACTACACCACTACCACATAATATATGTATATATATATATATTATATATATATATATATATATATATATATATATATATATATATATATATATATATATATATATATATATGTATATATATATATATATATATGTATATATATATATATATATATATATATATATATATATATATATATATATATATATATATTTATATATATATATATATATATATATATATATATATATACATATATATATATATATATATATATATATATATATATATATATATATATATATATATATATATATATATATATATATATATATATATATATATATATATATATATATATATGCTTGTGTGTGTGCGTGTGTGTATAGTGGAAACTGGAGTATAATGGGGTACTTAAGTATAGGTTATCAAAAAACTGGCAAGAATAATTTAATGACAAAAGAAAAAAAAAAATTTAATGACAAAATACAATACAAACTACCATCTGACAAAAGAAAAAGTCAGTAGCATGAAATGAGAATAAATTATTTAACATTTAAGAATTTTTGAAAAAAAATCATTTTACTTCATGCTTGGGACAAATTGGGATATACAATGTAACAATAACATATGCTGCTAAAAGTAGATATTTGGGTTATAGGTACCATTGGATGAATGGTACTTTCAGATGAATGGCTGACAGAAGCACAGAGGTGGCTAGTAGCAGCCATGTCGCATTTATCAGCAACTGGGTTTGTTTCAATCATATTATTATTTTCTGCTGCCAGAAAGTCTGCTTTGGAAAAAACATTTCTATTAACTGGCCATATGCCTGCAATTCGAAAGCTGTTTAAGGTATTTGTTATTATGTTAGCTCCCTGGTAGGTTGAGCTAAACAGTGCAGCTATTTGAAATTGAGTAACCATGCGCCCAGGATTTTTTCTCAACCATTTCCTTATATTGTGATCATATTAAATTAAGTGGTTTCATAAAAGCTAAATCCAAGGGTTGCATCTGATGTGTTCGATGAGAAGAACAAATAATGGCTAAAGAACAAATAATGGCTGTGATAAGCTTACTCCTATCAGCTGAAGTGAGCTTGTCTTTTCCCTTTGGTTGAAACAATTTTAAAGATACACTTTTGATCTGTAAAAATACCTGTTTTGTCAAAATTCCAGATATTTTCAATGTGTATTTTGTTTGTGTCCGCATTTTTTTCCAGTAATGAAAAAAAAAAAAAATCCACTCGGTTAAAGCCCATAGCACGGCTGACATAGTCTCCGTCTGCTGAATGTGCACAACAAGTTCAATTTCTTCCTCTCGGGTAAATACTCCCGACGGGCATTTGTTTTTAAAAGTTACGTTCTAAATGTATTTTAAATGTCTTTTAAACGTTTTTTGCGTAAGAATGTTTAGAAGACGTTTAAAAGACATTTAAAATACATTTAGAACGTAACTTTTAAAAACAAATGCCCGTCGGGCTGTTTTGAAAGTTCCTAGAGTTAAAACACAAAATTAAACCACTTAAAACTTATTAACAAAACATTTATAACATATTATACTCATTTAATAATTTTGTGTTGGGCTACAATACATATAAGTTGTCAAAGAGTAATAATATCAATGATTTTTTTAAATACATTGTATCTATATATAATGTAAATAAATAATTAATCATTTGAACTTATATAAAAAAAACTCATTTTGAACTGATATAAAACTCAATTTGAACTGATATAAAAAAAACTCATTTCACACGCTTTTTTAATATCAGGATTAAAAAAAAAAATTTTACCCTTCTTTTAAAGGTAGTTTGTTGTACAATATATACTTTGGCAGCTTTTTTATATCATTGATCATTATTTATTACAGAGAGAATTGCTCGTTGCATAGCACTTTCACTTCATGTCTATCGATTTGATGTTCGTTTATAATTTCTCATATTATTTATCTTGAAAAACAATTAATATTTGTATAGAACCTTAAAAACCAAAAAGTACAAAAGTATCATAAAGTATACTAGAATAAAAAGTTTTCTAGTATAAATTCTTACAATTACCTTAATATTATTTAATGTGAAACACATAAATATTTAGGATAAAGAATTACTTTATTTTCATAAATATGTTATTTTTATGAAAATAAAGTAATTATTATGTTAGTTTACAATTTATACAAAAACATTTAGGATATAATTGGGAATACCCCATTATGCCCCCATTGGTGACATATTGCTAAAAAAAGTGCAACATCTAAAAATATCACACATTCCAAAATTCAAAAGTTTTAATAATACCCAGCCCTATATTAGCTTATTGCAATACGAGCTTCAGCATATAACATGAAATAATAAAATTTTGCATCATTTAATATGACACGGTTAAATTTCATCAAAGTTCATTTTAAGTGATATTTACTAAGTCAAGACAAATTTTGCTTAAATTTTAAACAAATACAACTGATGGTGTCATTTTGATATATATATATATATATATATATATATATATATATATATATATATATATATATATATATATATATATATATATATATATATATGTATATATATATATATATATATATATATATATATATATATATATATATATATATATATATATATATATATATATATATACCACCATATTTTGAAACAAAAAAAAGCCAGAAACTTATTTTTAGTCCGAATATATATACAAATGTCTATATATTGGGACTAAAAATAAGTTTCTGGCTTTTTTTTGTTTCAAAAATTGCTTTATTTCAATTACAAAATGAATTGATGTATTACACAGGCCAATAAAAAAAATTTTTTTCTGGTGCCGAGCAAACAATTAGTTTTTAATAGTATTTCTCATTTTGATTTCAAATATGCAATTCATTTTTCACCATCACGTCAAGTTGTAAAGATATTTGGGTTCAAATCTTTAGTATTTAGGGTAACATTGTCTAACATTGTCAAAAAAAAGTTATTCAAAAGTATGTCAACCTGGGTCTAAAAAGAAGCGTATTTTCATAGAGATTTTGGAAAACATAAATATTTTTTCTTAAAACTCATTGACAAAAAAATTATGTGAAAAAATGCTAAAGACTCTGAGAAAAATTCAATTTTTATTACAAACGAATGACATTTTTGAATTCTCTATGAAAATACGCTTCTTTTGAGATCCAGGTTGACATACTTTTAAATAACTTTTTTTTCGACAATATTAGGAACTTTACCCCAAATACTAAAGTTTGAACTCAAATATCTTTACAACTTGACGTGATGGTAAAAAATGAGTTGCATATTTTAAATCAAAATGAGAAATACTATAAAAAAAACTAATTGTTTGCGCGGCACCAGAAAATTTTTTTTTTGTTGGCCTGTGTTATTCGAAGTATTGCCCTTCCAATGCCATAATATTTCCCCATCATTCTAGTTGTTCGTGGATTCCCTGTTAAAAGAACCGTTAGTCGATTTAGGCTCAATATGAATCAAGTCAATTTTGGATACCCTGTTCTAAAGTGAAGCGTATTCTAGTGGGGGCGTTCAACATATAAAAACAAATAGCAATGAAACGGGGCAAGGTCAGAGTTATACGGCGGGTGAAGCAAAACTTCCGTCCATATTTTTCCAAAGATTTTTTAATTAGCCTTGCTACATTCGACCAAATTTTGTCATGATGGAAAATTATATATATATATATATATATATATATATATATATATATATATATATATATATATATATATATATATATATATATATATATATATATATATATATATATATATATTGTCATGATGGAAAATTATATATATATATATATATATATATATATATATATATATATATATATATATATATATATATATATATATATATATATATATATATATATATATATAAATAGACCATCATGTCCATCATGACAACATTCAACCAAATGTAGCAAAACTACTATCCCAGCAAACACAAAACGTTCAACGAACGTTCGCAACGTTAAAGAACGTTCGTTGACGTTCATAGAACGTGCTCAAATGTTCGCAACGTTTTTCGAACGTTTTGTGTTTGCAGTGATGGTAGATCAATATTGTGAATCAATTAATAATCATGATATGTAATTATAAAGCACAGACCTAGTTTAATAAAACGTAAATAAATTCATTTTTTTTTTCAATTGTTTTCCAATTATCATTTTCATACTTTTTCAATTTCATTTAAAAATTAGGATTTTATAAATTCTTCATAAAGTAAAGCTTCATAAAAATTATTTATTGAACAAAAACAATATTCAGTTTATATACAATTTATAACTATATATACATAAGACAATATATAAAGAAAAAGCTCCTATTATTTTTGTTTAAAACCGAAACTTCATTTCTTCTTGACGCGTGAGCATCTTAAGTTTTTTTGACAACATGGAATTTATCGATTTTAATAAGTTTTTTTGAATTGTTAATTTTTTATCTTCATTTTCAAGTTGTTTTATGTGATCTATGCCCTTAGTAAGGATAATCACTTTAGGAGCCTTTTCGTGAAGCTCAAGTTCTGGCAACGATTTTCGCAAGTCATCGAATTTGCGTTTTAACTCGTCTCTTCTCTTTCTCTCTAAATGATTGTGAGTTTTCCGGTTTTCGAGAGGTCGAGGACTTAACGAACCGTTTGAGTTATCGTCGGAAGAATAGCAGTTATTAAACCTTTTGGCTTTTGATCTTGATGTTTTCATTCTTTTCAACGTTAAACCTTTTCTTTTATCAAAAAGAAAATGTTCGGCAAAAAAAGATGTTGCGAAGCAACTTTCAGTATTGTTACTAGTTTGAGAGCAGATGTTGTCAAAAGGCGGAAGAAATGAAGAATTTCTTTCTAAAGAGTTGTCTTCGTTTCCACATAGCACCGACCCATCGCTTATTCCAACTACATCAACTTCGTCCTCTAAAATAAAAAAAATCAGGAACATTGATTAAAACCTGAGAATGAAAGTGAGTCAGATTATAAAAATAGTCAAGTCCAGTGACGTCAAAGTAAAAATGTTCTCTAGGCGTAATATTAAGAAAGTTTATAACTCACAATACTTTGAAACAACTTTAACGCCGTTGTTCCACATAATTGACACCGTTTAAATACAATTTAACTTTTTGAGTTTGTTACATTCAGATTAAAAAACTCTATGCGCAAAAAAAGGCGTTGGGTGTGAAATTGGCGTTGGGTACCTTTTTTCTAGTTCATTTGCTAAGCTTTGACATTACAATTTAATCAATTTTATAAGTTTTTCGTTAATACAATCAAAATATTTTTTATTTTTATTTTTATACTTGTTTTACTTTAAAACTCATTTTACAAGAAAAAAAAAAAAAAAAAAAAAAAAAAAAAAAAAAATGCAAATAATACTTTGCACGTTTAGGTAAAGTTTAGACAAAAACCTACTGGCTGTTTAAAGTAATAATTTTTTTTCTTGTTTCTTCGAATCAGTTTTTGCAGCAGAAGGTGAGAGGCTTTGTTTTTTAAAAATTAAACCGCCAGACAACAAAAGCTGCGTTGAAATTATTTTAAAAGAAAAACTCACTTAAGCGTTTCAAACGCATTAAATCTAAGAGCTTTTCAAACTGTGTTCGCAGTCAATAACGAAAATTAAAGATAACAATAATAAACAAAACTGTTTTTTCAATTAAATGTTTTAAAGATAAAAAATTTATTATAGCTTTAAAAATAATAACTGCACTGGTTAAAAAAATATAATCACTTAAAAAGTAGTTACTGAACATTGGTTTATTTTTTTCTAGTTTCTCCTTATTTTCAAGAATATATGCAACGTTTAATTTAATTTATTCGGCTCACTTTCTATTTTGCACTAAGAATCACTCGTTTGAACATGCTATTATTTCATGTACATTAACAGTATGTTAAAAATAAAAGTTAAGTAAGTAAGAAATAAAAGAAAACCAAAATGTTTCCGTTTTGAAAAATAAAAAATAAAAAAGATAAAAACAAAAACCAAATTAATAAAAATAGAAATAATATCTTACCGCTTTCTGTATCAACCGGAGTTAATATCGAATATTCGTTAGAGGTATCACAACATGGATCATCATTAGTTGGAAATGGCGAAGGATTTAAAGCAAAATTAATTGGTGTCACTAGCAATGACCTAGAATGTCTAGAATCTAGTGAGTTGGAGAATTTGAAATCACTTTCACCCCACATACAATCGTCTCGCAGTACTTCTGAAGGAAAAACACTTGAAATTATTAAACCATCTGCAAGATCTTGAAGTGCAAAATTAAAAGATAGTAGTTCCGCATCAAAACCAAATTCACTAAACATAGTTTCTCCGAAAGATGGTGTCATAGGAGGCGTCTCCAACTCAATATCTGTATTAAATGTCTTCTCAAAATACATTTTCAAAATTTCTTTTCTGTCACGTCAAACGCCAAACAAAGACTGTAATTTAAATTCGCAGCCAAAACAAGAAATTGTTTGCATTTAAGAATTTTTGGAATTTTAAGTAAAAATTGGGAACCTGTTCGTGAGCGCATGTGTTATGTTGCGTGGAAAAGATCAAAGAATGCAGAAACGACACCTGGTTTCTTTAAATCTAGTAAGTAAACCAAAGTTGCTAGCTTTACTCATAATCATCATAGATATTGGAGCAACTGAACTTTAGTACTGAACTTAATTGTATTTTACAGAAAAATAAAACTCTTTAAAAAAAAATATTAAGTAAATGAAAACCATATTGGCATAATAAATAAATAAATTTAACCATTATATTTTAACTGAAACAATTTATCAAATGACGAATACGTTATTATAAGAATCAAATGTTTGTACACACCACAATTTTAATAATTGGGTATAATGAATCCAATGGATACATTCTTTTTTTAAGCGTTCTTGCTTTATGAATTAATTTTTTTCATTGTACAATGTTTTGTGTTTTCAAAACTAAAAAAGATTTAAAGTAATTCAAAACTATTAGTTTTAATTAAATTATTTTAATTTTGCAACTAATTTAATATTTAGTAGATAATTTTAAAAATGAAACCACAATATCAAAATATTATTAAAAATAAAATTTATATATATACATACAGTGCCGTGGCAAGTGGGTCTAGGACCCTCCAAAAAAAACTTGTTATTAGGGCTCCAAAAATTTTTTAAAACTATAAAAAAGCGCATAAGAGATACACAATACCCTTAAAACATTGGTTACCCGGTCACATCGTTTATCGAGAGATTAAAAACAATATAATCAACGCTTTAATCTAAATAAATGAATATTGTCATTTTTGTATTCATTTAACTTCAAGAGTTTACCTAATGAGTTTTATTGACTGTTGCAAATGTATTACACATTCACAGATTAAAGAAATAGTTTGCGACGTGTTTTAATGCTTTGCAAACATTTATTATGCATTTAAACTTAATTTCCTTGAAACCTCGTTTTCTGTTAACAGCATTGATAAAAGAAGCCAAAATTTAAGATGGCAGAAACCAAGGAATAAAAAAGCCTTAAAATGCTTGCGGGCACTGATGTAGTAGAAAAACTAAATTTTAATTTATCGATAGATTTTAAATTTCGTAGAAAATTATTGTAAATTACTAAAGTTTTGACCATGCAAATTTTCCGACCACCTTTTATAATGAGGGGAATGTAAACTTTACATGGTCATAAATTTTGTAATTTACAATACTTTTCTACGAAATTTAAAATCTATCAATAAATTTAAATTTAGTTTAAGATGGTGAAGTTGAAAGTTTTACTGTATTAGTGCCCTCATGTTTGGGCAAGGGGGAGCAAGCATTTTAGGGTTTTATTGTTCCTTGGTCTCTGCCATCCCAAATTTTTGCAAGACCTCCTCATTTGGCATAGGTATGAACATACTTAAGTTTGTATTTGGCATAGGTAAGAACATACTTTAAGTTTTTTAATATATATATATATATATATATATATATATATATATATATATATATATACACACACACATATATATATATATATATATATATATATATATATATATATATATATATATGTATATATATATATATATATATATATATATATATATATATATATATATATATATATATATATATATATATATATATATATATATATATATATATATATATATATATATATATATATATATATAGGGGAAGTGGGGGCATAACTGCATATGGATGCACAACTGTTTTTTAACATTTCTCTTCAAAAAATGTTATCTAATATGGCAAAAAACATACCACGCGTAAGTAAAACAGTTTCCTTCATTTTGCATATGTCAAAAAGAGTGACTGTTAAGTTTGTGAGAAGTTGTGAATAATAATTTTTATTTTGATAAAAATATTATATTTACATCATATTTTACCTGACCTTCTTTTTGAGAATTAAGCAATATTTAATTTTAGTGTTAAAAATATGTGTTATCAGCATTATTTCATGAAGTGAAAGTCATTTTTGATAATACCATAATCTAATAATTAATCTATGAAACTGAATTCTTTCTAAAAACTCTCTTCTGGGGTAGAACTCTCTTCTGGGGCAGAACTCAGAATGTAAACACAAAGAATGCCTGCACAATATGCAAACATGCAACAAAATCATCAAATCATCTGAGCTGTGAAAACTGTAAAAAAAATGTACCATGAAAGGTGTAGCCCCATCGATTTTTTTGAGGGTGTGGTTGTGCCTCACAATGGGGGCAAAACCGTTTTTTACACTAAGTGTAATTTTTGTGTAATAACATTTTCAAAACCTGTTTAATTTTTTTCTTAAATGCATCAATTTAAAGCCTAATGATGTGGTTATTGAAATAAACTGCTAAAAAAACACATTTCGTTTTTATTTTCATATAACATTATTCCAAACGTTACCGGGGCGGTTATATATATATATATATATATATATATATATATATATATATATATATATATATATATATATATATATATATATATATATATATATATATATATATATATATATATATATATATATATATATATATATATATATATATATATATATATATATATATATATATATATATATATATATATATATATATATATATATATATATAATATATATATATATATATATATGTATATATATATATTATATATATATATATATATCAATATATATATATATATTGATATATATATATATATATATATATATATATATATATATATATATATATATATATATATATATATATATAATATATATATATATATATATATATATATATATATATATATATATATATATATATATATATATATATATATATATATATATATATATATATATATATATATATATATATATATATATATATATATATATATATATATATATATTATATCAACTGTTTCGATCTTTACTTTTAGATCGTTGGCATTTTATGCCACTTCTATCAACGTATCGTACACTGCTGCTATTTGATATAATAACAAACTAGTTTCACACTTTTGATTCAGCGTTGAGCGCTAAACAAAAGATAAATTTGTTTCAAAATTCCACAAAGTGTCATAATAACAACTGAAGATTTCACCATGTCTTCAAGAATTAGATTGAGACACCCATATGGCACATAAAATGATTTCGGATTGATTTTAAGTATACGTTTTTGTTCACTACGATTGCAAACTTTTATATTTGCTCCGTTATTATAACCTTAGCCTCTGCAATTGTGCAATTTTGCAATTCTGCAAATTTAAATTCAAATTTTCAAGGTTTTGTAAGCATGATTCTAAGAGACCTGAACCAGTTCTGTCATTGACATGTAGGAATCCCACTAAATTCATTGTAAGGCCGTGGCGCAGTGGTTAGAGCGCTTGCTTTAGAAGCAGGAGACCCAGGTTCGAAACAAGCTCTGGATATATTTTCGTGTCACGGTAAGGAAGGAGGCGTGAACTTCCTGGTTAAATGCACATCCGCGGTGCTCTGTGACAAGACCGTTAGGTCTTCTTGGGGCACCGAAAAAGAAAAAAAAGAGTTCTACTAGTCTACTCCTAATGTTGCATATTTGCAACATAGTCATTTGCTCTTGGTTACCAGCATCAGGTGTGCAGTCAAAAATGATGGAATGATGTTTTAAATTTTGAGCATTAGTTATAGTTTTTTTTGTGAAACAGCAACAACAATGAAAAAAAATTCCACAGTGAAATACCACTTTTCAGAACTCTTATCTTGCGGATACTTTATTCGTAAATCACGAAACGGTAATTTTTTGATCAAGTAAACACGTTCTTTATTGCTAACTGAAGATAAACCATAAGATACTGGGGATAAACCTGTATATTTTCAATCGAAGTCGTTATTTTGGATCTCATTTGCATCAATTGAACTTGTATCTTCCGTGTCCAAAATTTCTTTCTGTAAATTAGCCAATTCATTGGCCACTTTTTCTAAAGCGATTTGACTACTTTGACCACATGTAGACAAGTGAGAATAGTTGCGCATTCTCTTCATTCTGAGCATTTGAAGTTGATTTTGCAAAAAAATAATCTAAAAATTTTTAAAGTATTTACGATCTTTATAATAAAAATTTAAATAATTTTTTAAATCGTATGAAATTCGGTAGTAAACTATGCGATAAATAAAGTAACTTAATTTCATATAAATTGGTTCTCATTAAATTGAAATGCTGTGCAATTCCAATACCATCAACTTAAATCGACGATATAGTTTATCAACCATTGCTTTTCATTTGATCATCGAGACATCGTTAAACGTTTTCATAGGCTACCACTAAACTGATTACAGTTTGTTAAGTGGTTCCAAAAATGATCACTGTTTCGGTGTAAAATTCTGCCCGACGGGGATTAAATCTTAAAAAAGACGTCTTTAGAAAGTTTAAATATGTCTATTCCTGCAAAAATGTCCATTAGATGCATATGTCCCTACGGGTAATTGTTTTTAAAAGTTACGTTGTAAATGTCTTTTAAACGTTTAATAAACGTCTTTTAAACGTTCTTTACATAAGAGCGTTAGAAGACGTTATAAAGATATTTAAAATACATTTAGAACGTAGTTTTTTGAAAACAAATGCCCGCTGGGGAAGCATAAACAAGGTTTGATATTGTGTAAAGCGGGCTTTATATACTTTCTTGTTCTGCAATTCTGCACATATACTTTCTTGTTCTGCAATTTGCTTCATCTCATAAGCTTATTTACTATATTTTACTTTTCTACTTTAAAATTATAGTACATATTATTTTATCGATATTATTTAGACACACCGCGGTGTGTAGTTTTCAATACTTGCCTGAAAACCTGATTTTTATCTGTTTCTCTATCCAAATACATTTTTGAACATTAGTTTTTCAGATCTTCTATATTAATCTTTTTTTCTTTTGCGTTTTTGACAAAATTGAAA